TATCTTAATAAAAAGGATACCATAGTTGATATCTAATGTATATTGTCCCTTAGGGAGTTTTCCGTTAAAGACAGGATCTGAGTTGTGGTTAATCTTCCTGTAAAGCTTGCGGAATGTTGGCAGGGCAGCTGTCCTCATCCATACAATCAGGTCTTCATTCTGGTAGCCATTGTTATCTGGGTCATCAGGGTCTAGCTGTGTGATATTATGTTGCCAGTTCATTGGCTGCCGGGTATTTGCAAAGGCTGAAACATTAAGTGTTATGTTTATATACAGGGTGGGCCCAAAAAAACGCCACTTTTTTTTCAAGACACTATAACCTTTTTATTTTCCAACCTACATACCCCAAACTTTGCAGTTATATAGAGCCAGGGGTTCTTAGTAATAATTAAATGTAACAAGTCCTTCAACTTGGATAATATTTGATCTAAAAGAGGAGTTCAATATACCAATACGCGATAACGTTTAATTTCGTTCAGTTTAGCTATTTCCCGTTTGAAGAGCTCTCATGTATGGTACAACTTCGTCGACATCCGGGTTCTTTCCCATTGGATTACACAGGGGTGCTATTTCCAATGCCGCACTGCAACTCTATTAAACATTTATGTAGAGTTTCATTTGCACAAACGATAGGTATGTATGCAATTAAGATATATGACAAAGCTTTTTGAACTATTATCCCCAAATCCGAAGAAATCTGTAGTTAAAAATGCCGTCCAATTCCAGTGACGTCACTGAAATCCCAGAAATTGCTCAGACGCCATCGAAGATAGAAAAAATATAAATAATGTTACTTTGAATCTCCGATTATCTTTCTGATTATTGAATAGATAGGATTATATAACTATGCTTGAGGGCTGATGGAAGATCAGAAGCTGAGAAACGTTCAGAATAATCGACTCGTTCGGAGGGCCATTGAAAATTTGTCCCTTCCAAAGCGATGCATCATGGGAGATATTTATGTAAATTACCACCTGAACTCTTAACGCGAATAGGAGTATTGGTCCGCCACCCTATTTGATGATAGATTTTAGTTTTAGTCGCCTTGCTGATATAGCAGTATCAATGGAATGTTAGCTAGAAAATTTTCAACATGTCTTAATTGCCAGCTTTAGTTGAGCAATTTTTTAAATTGGATGCCTTCATACAATCTCCTGGGGACCTTCCCATACCCTATACTCACTGGGGTTTGCATCAGGGCTATTAGCTTGGCGGTCATCAGGCCATATCAGTTCAGGAACATTTTGCAAATTATGCTTTAATATTTCTCATGGCACACCACATGTTTAAGTGAGGCGCTGGTGACATATTTTATTCAAGTAAAAGTGCACAATTCATGATCCATGGCTAGATAACAACTTCAAGTTTCATTTGGTATGCAAATTATGATTTTGTACCAAAAATTAAAAAAGTTATAGCATTTTGAAAAAAAAGTGGCGTTTTTTTTGGCCCACCCTGTAAATATTCATGGGTTTAGTGAGTGCATTCGATTTATTGCTGATGGTTGCTTTAAAAGTGTTTCTACCTTCATCAAGGGATGCCCCTGGTGGATTCCTGAACTTGACATCTCTATCTGTAGACCAAGCTATTCCCCTCCTGTTGAGTCCTACAGGGATGTCACCACTGGCAGCATTATATGTCAGAGTGAACGAATCTAAAGAAAAAATACATATAATTGGAAAATCTTACTGTTTTACAGTGTGCCTTTCATGAAAAATACTACAAGGGGCAATATATTTACAATTAAACTAGAAATGAATATAATACTGCAACCAATTTACAATGATTTCAGACCATCTTTCTATGCCTGCTATTAATGTCAGATAAAATAAATAGTATTATCAGATTTCTGTGTTCAGTTAGCATGCGCATGCACAGAATCAGCTTTGGCCCGCAGAGTTATGATTTCTTGAACTTTGATTTATTTCCACAATAGTGAGTGACAAAATGGAAGATGAATAATCAGCCTTCCCTTTGTAAGTTACAGTTTCAAGAGCTTCACTTGTTTTTGCATTGTTTTTCTCCATGGCAGTACATCCATGAAAAACTGTCTCAATGTTTTTGTAAAAAATCTTTTTTCATATAAAATACCTCTGACTTCATGAAAGTCTATCCCTGTATTTTCAAAAATTATTTGCACATTTTTCATAGAAATCCTAGAATTCACAAAATATTGGCATTTTCTCTTGCAGAATTCACTAAATTTTGTTTGCAGACTCATCATTTAAACCTTTGCAAACATGGAGTAGCGAGATCTAGTTTCAACAGTAAAAAGAAAGTGTGCCTTTCCTGAAAAATACTACAAGGAGCAATAGAAATGAATATACTGCACCCAATTTACAATGACTTCAGACCATCTTTCTATGGCTGCTATTTATGTCACTAAAATAAACAGTATATCAGATATTATACACGTTACATTTCTATTGATCCACAGAGTGTACTCTTAAATTCCCCTCTCATTTCAATCATTAGGAAAATAACTACAGAAAGATTTACAGATTAATAGCTATTCACCATTAAAGAGGCTGTTAGCAATGGCTCCACATGGAGCATATGGTATTTCAGGGGTGGAGTCATTGTACTGGTAGTTCCTATATGGTTCACATTCTGATGCAGCTCCACCTTTGCCAAGCAGCTGATAGTCATCGCGAGACTTCACATACCTCCTATGATTCTGGTAGAAGTTTGAAAGTCCATAGTACATGAAGACATTTCCCTACAAGAACATGCTCCATATAATATGATACATTATTTTATCAAGACACACTTAATATCTGTAATATAGACTGTAATAAATAATACAGTAATAGGAGATCATTTTTGCAAGAAATCAATATTCTGTATACACTTGAAAATATAATCGAGTAAGTACAATAAATGTGTATTGTTGTTAGCAACTAGTGCCAAGCTGCTTCTTTTGTTTTGGGAAAGTCAATAAATAATGCATTTAACACAGATCAAAATACAGTTTTCAAATTGTAATTCATAATATTTGGTCTGTATAAAATAAAGACATACATATTGTCTTTAATTTATGGAAATTTCATCTTGATTCCCATCCAAATAACAAATTAAGATCATTTGTATTGAAGTATTTATTGAACGACCTTCATGTATATGTGTCCATTCAGAAAATATTTCCCCGATGACTCAAATAAAAGAACCCATAATTGTTGATTAATTTAAATGAGATGGATGAAATAACAAGAACCCAATTACAAAATGTACAATACATTCTTTTAAAAGTGTTCCTAACAATTCAATTGGCTCACCTGGAAATCATCTGTGAGGTTAAAGGTGACCCTGCAATTGCACATTTGGCCAACATTGTCCTTGTTTTCAAGGAACTTTGCACATGTCTCTGTTGGGTTGCTTAATGATACACAGTTGTCTGTTGTATATTCAACTATCTTCTCCTGGACCTAAAACATAAACATAGTCACCAATTCTACATTTTAACATCATCAGAACAGACATAGAAAAAGCATGCAAATTGTTTGACATAATTTTAAAGCTGACTCATAGTTTACTTTTCCAAGAAGGAACAGAATACTAGCCTTAAAAATTGAATATTATGAAACATAACTCACAGACTTAAGTTTACATATATGCAGCACATGTACAGTATACTAAACTATTAATTAATGTTTCACATTTACTCATTTTAAAATCGCATATTGTGAACATTTCAAATAATTAGAGTCTTCATGCAGTATTGATCATTATCACACTATGTAGAAATCTAGTGATTTGATTGGTTGCTTTCTATGACATATTTCCCGTATCACATAAATTCCATATGATACGAGCACACGTACCACACATTGTCTATGGTAATGCAATGACGTCATACAACTTCATTCTATTCTTTCCTAATTCAAAATGACGTCACATATAGGCTATGTTATTATTTCTTAGAAATGATGAATTTGTCATTTGGGGAACTAGAAGTTAGAACGTCAAAGAAAGCTCTAATCAAAACACTAGATTTCTACATAGTATGTGATAAAAAAGTATCACCACGAAAGCGCAGCTTTTTTACTTTCGTGGAATATTTCCCGTATCACATGCTGAAACGTGTAATAACTGATAAGATTCAAGTTGTTACAAGTAATATAGTTTCTGTTCAATTTTATAATAATTGGGGAATAAGTTGACAAACTGGGACATGGCAACAGTAAATATGTAAACTACTGTGACTAATTCATTGTTTCAAAGTGACTTAATATGTGTTAAAGTTTAAGTTATGACATGTGATTCTGGAAAGAAGATGACACATTTTCGAGAACAGAATAGAAGTGGGGATAAATAAGATGCTATAAGTATTTTCACTTTAGTTTTAGGTAAAGCTTTCGTGACTTACATTATTTGCTGTGATGAGAAGGGCTACCCCTAGAGGTATGAAAGCTTTCGTGACTTATATTATTTGCTGTGATGAGAAGGGCTACCCCTAGAGGTATGAAAGCTATAGTGACTTACATTATTTGCTGTGATGAGAAGGGCTACCCCTAGAAGTATGAAAGCTATAGTGACTTACATTATTTGCTGTGTTGAGAAGGGCTACCCCTAGAAGTATGAAAGCTATAGTGACTTACATTATTTGCTGTGTTGAGAAGGGCTACCCCTAGAAGTATGAAAGCTATAGTGACTTACATTATTTGCTGTGATGAGAAGGGCTACCCCTAGAAGTATGAAAGCTATAGTGACTTACATTATTTGCTGTGATGAGAAGGGCTACCCCTAGAAGTATGAAAGCTATAGTGACTTACATTATTTGCTGTGAATGAGAAGGGCTACCCTTAGAAGTATGAAAGCTATAGTGACTTACATTATTTGCTGTGTTGAGAAGGGCTACCCCTAGAAGTATGAAAGCTATAGTGACTTACATTATTTGCTGTGATGAGAAGGGCTACCCCTAGAAGTATGAAAGCTATAGTGACTTACATTATTTGCTGTGATGAGAAGGGCTACCCCTAGAGGTATGAAAGCTATAGTGACTTACATTATTTGCTGATGAGAAGGGGTACCCCTAGAGGTATAAAAGCTTTCGTGACTTACATTATTTGCTGTGATGAGAAGGGCTACTCCTAGAGGTATGAAAGCTATAGTGACTTACATTATTTGCTGTGATGAGAAGGGCGACCCCTAGAGGTATGAAAGCTATTCCTATTGCGAAGAATGCTGGTAGGACTGTTCCTGCAGTGAGTATGGGCTGCCAAGCAGGTAACTTCTGTTGTTTGAACTTTGTATCTGAAATAAATTTAAAGTACATGTATGTATTCCAGCATTCCAGTAACTGTAATACAGTATATTTTGTATTTTTATTTTTTATTTTATTTAAGTACCATGGATACTGGGATAACATGGTGAAATTGCATTTAAAAGACCTCTGTTGAAACTTCAAAAGGCATGTTTAAAGTGATGATTATAAACGTTAATCTTTAACTCTTTTGACCAGTAATTATCCCAACGAACGAAGTTCGGTAGGGATATAGTGAAGCCCTCCGTCCGTCCGTCAGTCAGTCCGTCCGTCCGTCCGTCCGGAAGATAACTCAAATAAGAGTTGACAGATTTTCTTCATATTTAGTGGAAAGATGTAAATTGGTGAATAGTTTTTTCAAGATGGCCGCCGCTTTAAAAATGACAGGACTTTTTCGCAAAAATCATAAATTTTTCATTCTAAACCAAAGTAATTAATATTATTGTTTGAAATTTTGGTAGTATATTCGCAACATCTATCTTTTTCACATATATTCTGTGTTTTTCATCCTGACCCCCAGGGGCCGTGTATGGGGGGTCAGGAAAACAGTAATTTTCGCTAATTTTTAGATCTTTCTGAAGTATAGCTTTATTACACTCAAATGAAAGGCAATTAAGAGTAGATTGCAAATATTGTATCTTTTTTCTGATTCGAGCCTCGTTAAATTCAAAATGGCCGTCTAATGTACAATTTCGCAATAATTTTTCGATCCCTTCAAAGTATGGCTATATTATACTCAAATTGAAGGAATTTTGGAGTAGATCACAATTATGGTATGATTCTTCAGATTTGTACCTCAGAAAATTCAAAATGGCTGCTTTGCAGGAATTCGCAATTCTAAAATCTAAATTTTTCAATTTATACTCAAGTAATGAGTATAATTGATTGGAATTCGGTAATTGATATTTTGTTCGTTGGGATTTGCTACTCTGCGGAGTTGCCATTATCTAGTTAGCAAATTTGGGCTTTCAATAGTATGACTGAAATTCCCTACAAAATTTCCCTGCTCATCACCCTAATTTCCTGATTTTGAGAGAATATGTTTTGAGAAACAATAAAAGGTCAGTGGGGCAAATTAAAAGGTGGTGTCAAATAACTACAGAAGTTTATTTTGAACTATGAAGTGCAGACATGTCTTCAAAATCACCAAAAAGTCGAGACAATCTAAATTGAAAAATGTACACAAATACAATTACAAGTCTTGATCGAAAAGGAAGTACTCCAATTCTTGCAAGGATGGATGATACTGATGTAGGACACAGTTATAGAACAAAGTAAGGCGCTGATCGCATTATCAGTGTTTTAAAGGTCACTATTATTCAGCTGTCCATAGCTCCGATGAAGAGCCATAATTTCAAAATCTAACATGGCTCTCGAAGTGAGTAAGTTACCTCCAACCACTACAAAGGATCTATTACATACTGGTAAGTAGACATGTAGTGAATATTATGTCTTTTTTTTTTAAGGTAACTTATAACTTAATCAAAAAATCCAAGATGGCTGAAACCAGGAAGCACATGGCATTTGAGTATAATCTGACCATCAAAATTAACTGTCTTTTGGTTGGATTTTCTCTCAATTTTTTAGTTCCACTTATCATTTATATAACCAGGCTCACTGTGGTAATGCAAATAGAAACATTAACCATTTTGGAATGGGAATTTGAGTCCTCTGAAAATGTGACAGAAAAATTGACACAAAGAGTAGCACGGCAAAGGTCCCTGAACATTTTTTTTTCTAATTTCTCTGAAACATCCCTTTAATATAGCCCAAAATGGAAGGAGCTTTAGAATTTTGAAATCTCTCATATAAATTTAAAAAAAATAGAAAAAAACAATTTGAGAAGTGTACTTTTTTCCTTATTTTGATGCTAATTTTTTTATCGGGTAATTTTTCAAATTTCCATTGCTCCTTCGTTTTTGATATATGCTTGAAGTATATTTTCTGAAATGTTCAGATATTTTGAATCAGTGGTTTTTCACGGGCTACTCCTAGAAAACAATCTTCTCAAATTCTTTAAACGGCACTTTTTTTCTCAAACTAAATTTTTTTGTTGTTCTTTGATGTCTTTGTAATGATTACAGTGCACAAGCATATGTGAAATAATAAAAACGACTTCTCAGGAAGAGTTTGAAAATTTCAAGATTGTGAAATTTTCAATTTTTTCTGAAAATCGATTAAGTTAACAGTCACCTTAAGGTCAAACGGGTCAAGGAAATTGTAAATAAGATGCTCAAAAAGAGAGCCATGTTAGATTTTGAAACTTATGGCTCTCAAACGGGGAAGTGGACAGCTGACTAATAGTGACCTTTGAAATCGAATTAAGTCGATCAGCGGCCTACTTTTGTTCTCTAACTATGTTATACATCATTATCATCCTTCCGTGCAAGTATTGGAGCGCTGAATTACTTCCTTTTCGATCAAGACTTGTAATTGTTAGAAAAAATTTCACTGGTTCATTTCGTCAGTAGAACGGCAAAAATAAGAAATTGGGAGACCATTGTGCAATAATATATGGCAGCGGTGGCGGTAGGCATATATTTTTGTGAGTCATCATGACTCAGGTAGTTTCAAAAAAGTGAGTCACAAGAAAAAAAGTTGAGTCAAAGCTATAAAAGTGTTTTTCTTGAGTAAAAATGCATACAAAATGTAGAAACCACATACAAAATCTATTTTTTGATTTTGTGCATACCTTTTATTGTACTCTTATAGCACATTAACAACTAACTATTAATTAATTAGGCAATTGCAAGAAAAATGTCACTATTAATCATCTGATTATCTGGTCCAGCGAGTCATGGGTGTGAATGGAGTGGGAGAGGAGTTTCTCCCTGTGTGGAGTTACACAAATTGGGGTCAAAGCGTTTCATGTTGAAATTCAACATTTTTGCAATCATTCCAAAGTCTAAAACGGCAATATAAGTCCGACCACAATACTGGGCATCATTTAAATTGAATACGGTAGAACCTTGTAATTATAAAATGAAACCGAAAGTAGATTTGTTTTCATACCTAATTTATCATCATTACCCCCCTTAATGTGCGATCGACTGGATTTTCATGTGCCCATTATCTATCTTCATAGGATCAGCTTCAGATCTAGTGAATTGAAGATCTTAACTTGAGGGAGTTAATTGAAAATACTTGGTGAAAACTTACGATAGATCGGTCACTGTGAGCACCATTGATAAACCTACTGCGCATTACATCTGCGCATGCTGATGAAGGGGACGGCTCAAGGAAACTTGCTAACTTAGCGAAGGAATTTTGCGAACTTGCGAAGGAAACTAAAGGTTCGTAAATCTAGCGTGTGAACATTCAAGGAAAGATTTTATGCGGTAATTTAGATAAATATACGATCACTAAAATCCTTAGAAGGGAGTATGAAATTAATAAATTATTGTTCAATGCATGGACTTCTATTTGATTTCTATTTGATTTCTATTTGAAGTCCATGTTCAATGTTATGTTCGTTTTATTGCATTTTTGATACGCCCCCTAGCACACGAGATAAACAAATCGAGGGATCGATCAATGTTTTCAAGTTTATCATTGAATCTGAATCACAGGGCTTTAAAAATTATATGAAATACCGAAATAAGAAAATGATCGGTAGGAAGGAGGCTCGATTGCGCTGAACGAAATGTTAGATTTCCGGAATTAGCAAAATTATAAATTTGATCAATCACGTATTTTCACGTATAGGGATCAATTTAACCAAGTACCAAGCGGGGATTTTGCATGTGAAACAAACGTGCGTCAGAAAGACTCGGTAGACAATGAATATTTGCGTCAGAGTTGCAAAAATGTGAGTAAAAAACGTAAAAAATTGCGTTAACGCCACCTCTGTATGGAAAAGTATATTCATAATGTACATGAATGACATTTGTATATCTTGGATTGCTTCTAGTTTGGCTTATAAAGTGTGTGGCCTCTTATATTTGGATGTTTCTCTGCCATGTTATTTTCAATAAGATTAACATGGCTGAAATTCTTCAAATTACAAGACGGCCCAGGCTTATTGCACAAAAAACTAAAAAATCTGAAATATACAAATGTCATTCATGTACATTATGAATATACTTTTCCATATATTATTGCACAATGGTCTCCCAATTTCTTATTTTTGCCGTTCTACTGACGAAATGAAGCAGTGAAATGGACTCTAGTCGAGTGAATGTTTTAACTGCCAAATTCCAATATGGTGTTTTCTGCTCGGACATTTTCGTAAATCTCCAGAGGTTGTCCGAACATGACTAATTCTCAAAATTCATTCCGTTCGTTGCGTATCTCGCTCCTAGCAAACCGCCATATTGGAAATAGGTCTAAAAAACATTCACTCGATGAACAATTAACAAGTCTTGATCGAAAAAGAAGCATTTCAGCGCTCTAATACTTAGAGATTGAAACTGATGTAAGACACAGTTAGAGACCAAAAGTAAGCCGCTGATCGACTTAATTCGATTTCAAAGGTCACTATCATTCAGCTGTCCAAATGCTCCGTGGGAAAGCCATTATATCAAAATCCAAATAGCTTTCGCAGGAAGTAACCAAAAAGGACTTGATTGAACTTGATTCAATTTCCTGTGGTCCAAAAGTTAGACGAGAAATTATCGTCAATACATGTGTCCGCTCATAGGCGAATTATGTCATGAAATAAATCTGTGAAAGATTACGTTAATATCTTACCTTTAGGACGTTTACTTTTTGTTTTTTCATCGCTAATAGGAGTAGACATTTTCACAATATTTGTTTCAGGAAATCATTAATTTGACCTCGTTTTGAATTTGTACACTGAACGAAATTGTAAGAAAAAAGTGCCCCGGGAGTTGAATTGAATACTGATAAAAAGCTCAAATGCTGAATATATTATTACCATGAAGAAATAAATATTAGATCATATAGGTAAGATATCATCATCTTACAATAAACCAGCCCTTGCTACACTATCATATTTATGTTCAACGTCCATGTAAATTTCAAATGTCACGATCAGTATAGGCCTAATCCCGGGGTATACTCCGAGATTGTCGTATCTCATTGCATTTTATTGTATTGTATTGATTGTATCATGTCACAGTACAGGTATTGTATTGTAATGCAATGCAATGGCATTGTATTGTATTGTATGGTATTGTATTGTATTGCATTCCATTGCAATTGCATTATCATGTAATCATGTAGATCTATTGTATTGCAATGCATTGAATTATACTGCATTGCATTGCATGCATTGTAGTATTTTTATGGTCTGATTGTATTGTAGTGTATATCTTTATTGCCCATCTTTCGATGGATCAAATGTCTTCATTTTTTTTGCCTTCAAAAGACGAAACCCGGCAGGATTCACCAGAACATCAGGGTTTTTGCGTTATTAAGATGAAACTAAACCAGAAAACACGTCAGTAAATTTTAAAAAAAGTTGAGCATAAAATACCTCATGGATTGCAACCAAAGTCTAAGTCTGACATTAAATTGTGGACTTTACATATTAAAAAATATTTTTACTTAAAGGAGAATACAAATATATCCGCAATCTTCGTTCTTTCACCGATGTGAAGTGTGAATGAGCAAAATCTGGTTTTACTGACACAAAGTGTCTCATTTTAATGGCCCATCCTGTACATTTAATGCGGGACTGAATCCCAAATTTTGAAAAATATATATGAACCTGGGCACTTGAGGTACATGTATGTCCGTCCAAGGATCACAACATCGGCCACATTGAGATAGTTGAACAAGTGCATTATTTATTAAGCTACACGACATGGTATTCTTTTTTATATTGATTTCGAAAATGCCAAACAAACGCAAATGTCATCAAAGTTATTAATAATGAAAATGATATGGAGGTAGACCTTAGTGACATTCCATAACAAAACTTGCCACGTTGTCCTCCTGAAGGCACATCATATAGGACAGGAATCCACCATAGCATGGATTCAACAATTTTCCTCTTGGTAAGTGGAATATTTTACATTTCATGTACTTGTGCACTTATTTCGAAATTTGTTAAACAAGTTCTAAAAGAGAAATGCCAAAAAAGTATTATTATTACAATACACAGTCATGAAAGAGACAACTACTTCTAGAAATCTACACACAAACATAAATAGCAAGAAATAGATCCTGGTGGTTATCAATAATTTTGGGAGAGAGGGGCTGTATTTCAACTGGTTCATGGTTGTTGTAAAAACCGTTTCTTGAAATCGTTATGAAAACAATTATAACATATACGTACAGAACTACGGATGCATTTTCCACATATCTTATGCAAAACTTCTTTAATAATGTTGGGTCCCTCCATCAAAACATGATAAACGATTTAGAACAGCCATTTTTATGTTTTAGATTGCAGTACTTGTGAGTAGTATAAACAATACAAAAGCTAAAGGTAAGCAAGTGTTCCTCCAAATTCTTAAACGTGAAATAAAATATGGAATACTCAAAGAAATGGATAGGTAACATTTCGAAGGGATTTTATTCGTGACTGTCAAATTGATTGAGGGATTATCATTGTAAGATATCAAATTATTGATGATAGGAATGTATTCATCCCTTTGTTCCTGTTCCACTTGGTTTGTTCCAGTTATTGAAAGTTACACGAAGACGCGCAACTTTCGTGGATATGAAAATATGTGAATTATGATAGCATATTATACATCTGCATGTATCTGTTGAAGCTATTTTAATTTCTTTTTATTTCTCCCATGACCCATTAGAATGTCAAACGTCTGACCGTGCATTAATAATTGACTGGAATCTTTTTCATATTTCCAGGTGATTGTGGTGATCCTGGTAATGTTAACAATGGTGAACGAGAGTTAAGTGCTGGGTTTAGTGTTGGGGATACAGTCACATACACGTGCAACGTTGGACATGAGTTCAAAACGGACCCTGTATCCACAACCCTGGAAAGGACATGCCAAGCAGAAAGCCTTGCTTGGGTACCGGAAAAGAGGGACTGTGATCGTAAGGCTTAATTCAAATATGCATGTTCTCTTAAAAATATAAAAGATAGGATATATTTTCTTTAAGCCCTGAATGCTGAGATGAAAATAATTTTATTCAGCGGTGTTGGGTTTAATAGCTTTACCGGTATATACTAGTAGTTCCACAATCGTTACATTTTTACCATGGTCATTTTTGGAAACCCTCCACAAATATCTCAAATGTGGTTCATGATTCGAGAAAGTTTTCTTTGACAGCCATTGCATGTGGTACAGCTGAGGGTGTTGCGGATGGAACACGGTATCCAGGTAGAGTCATGTTCTACAACGAGGAAGTGTTGTACACGTGTGATGCAGGATTTCGCCAAGCATCTGGAGACATGAGACGGACATGTCAGGCCAACAAGGAGTTTTCCGGAACTGTTCCATCTTGCGAGGGTAAGTGATCAATGATCGTAATGTAGTCTTATGAACTTTTTCCTTGTCCTTGTCAAAATAACATAAATATTTCTCTATGGGGGCCCTAATCAAGTATTACCTATATATGCGGCTTCTTACGACCCCCCCCCCCCCACCCCACATTGAGATTATGAACTCCAAAGGAGCACCCTCGGCTTATCAATTGTTTTGTATACTAGTAATGCCTATGTTTACATCATAGACCTCAATTCTCAAGAGATATTAGGTCCATGTTTACATTAATTAATTTTCTGATTTAGTATGTTGATATGTACCCTTTGCATTCGTTTGACTTCACTTCTTAAAAGAGAGCTTCGTCTGTAGTTTAACTAGACTCTGCACGCAGGGTAGTTGATATGCACGCGCTTCCATTTTACATACATTTATATTTGCACATTATTATAGAAAGACTTTAGTGGAGAATTTTGGAATTCTGAAAGTAAAAATACTAGATTTAAAAGGCGCAACCCTAAATTTTTAAATTAAAACAGTGTGCGTTATATACCCGATCGCAAAATAAATCGCAGATTCACCCTAGCCTATTCATTAAAATCCCAAATCTTTTCTCTAAGGTCTTAACTAGTAATATATTATTTATTTGTTTTGTAGAAATTATCTGCCCAGAGGCTGATGACGTTCCATACACAAGCAAGGATTCAACTGGCAATCGATTCGAGGACACTGTCACATATGAATGCAACCCTGGATTTATACTAGCAGGCGGTGACCTCGAAAGGTCGTGCCAGGCGGACGATACGTGGACTGGGACGAATCCGAATTGTGAAAGTAAGTCTCGAGACAAACGATAAATAAACAAAACGGAAACACGGACGAGCGCATGGACGAACGAACGGACGTATGGACTAAATGACTGACGAAGAAACAAACAAACGGTTGTCTAGGGACAAAAATTAGAACGTGTTATCTTCTTGGGAATGCACGATATTAAATATGAAATTGAAAAAATTATTGACGTACACACGAGAGGAAACATCCTGGGGAACATCTGAAATTATTTTGTTTATAAGTATTTCTAATTTGTTATTTTGGAAGTTTCTTAAAAACTTTCCTAACCTCTAATAGAGAGGTTACTTTTATGGCGAAAGTGAGAAAAGAAACGGTGTTTTTTCGATGAGTTTATTAGGATCCATACGTCATTATTCCGATAATTTCGAAGAAAATATAGAAATTGTATATATATCTGAATGTAAGAAATGATGACTGTTTTAAACCATTTCCATCTCATTCCTGGTTTTCCATTCATAAACAGTTCATTGGAATACAAAACTCAGTACTAGCTTTAGATTGGCTTTAACTTTGTATATTTAGGCAGACTTAGGCACTATTCTAACATTCAAAACGTAAATATTTCAAACTGAATTATACATATGTAAATGTTACATTGCAGGGGTTAAGTGCGAGGACCCCGGGTTCATTGATTTTGGTACAGTTGATCTTTCCGGTCTCGAGTTTGAGGATACTGCGGAGTACACCTGTGACAATGGATACATCGTCACGTTGGGGAATGCCATCCGTACATGTCAAGCTGGTCAGACATGGAGTGGAGAAGAAGCTGTATGCCAGGGTATACCGTGTGATGAGCCCTCTTCAGTAGATCATGCCGCTAAAGTTGGTGTTGATTATCACTTTCCCGAGTCTATACGTTATACATGTGATACTGGCTATGAAGTAAAGTCTGGTGATGTAAGGAGAAAATGCCAGGCAGATGGCATATGGAGTGGAGACGCCCCTCTGTGTGGCCGTAAGTATTAATTACTACGGGCCTCAGAGGACCTTGCAACGCTCCGCAAAAACTGTAATTTTGAATTTTGAACGTGTTGGTTGTTTGAGAACATTTATTTTTAGCATTGTGAGTTTCATTCCTTGAAAACTTAAAGCTTAAAGTCCTTACTCTGTTGAAATTCCACCCCCATCCAAATCGTGCGTGTTTGTGTATATTTTTAACTCTGGAAGAAGTGAAACGCTCATTATCTGTTCACAAGTTCAATTTAAAATGTGCTTTCAGAGTAGGTACATGGAGAGAATTGAAGTAACCTAGTAGTGAAGACTGAGACTGAACTACCTTTTGTAAAATGTACCCCGGAAAATCCACTTTTTTTTTAAAAAAACACTCCTAAAAATTGTTATTGTTGTAACGTGCATTATAGGCGTCGTTTGTGGAGACCCAAATGATTTTCCAAACGTTGTGAGGGATTCTGATAACTTTGAATACCAAGATACACTGCGATATTCTTGTGCGGAAGGATATGAGCTAAAGTTGAACCACGACGGCGACTTGGTTAGGACGTGCCAAGCAGACAAAACATGGTCAGGAGTCCCAGTCGAATGTCAACGTAAGCAATCATTTTTACTCTCAATTGCGGTCATATTAGGAATAACTGCCAATGATTAACCCAAAATTTAAACATTCCAAAGTTCTAAAATGTGAAACATTGATAGTGAGTAGGTAGCCGTTTCGATTTTCAAACTTAGTGGCGAAAAATGCTAAACCATTTGGTAAGGTTATACATAATTGATTATTTAGTAATATCAAATATTCATACACATGTTGATCCAAAAATGCAACATTTTAATTTGGTATGACTTTGTCAATTATGATGGAATTCTTCATTTGTGGGTAGAGTGTTTGAAGGAGCAAACGTTATATGTTTAATTCAACTCCGACTTCGAAAGTTTGAGAAATCACATTTACGTTACACTTCGAGGCATGCTCTCTCGCCAAATCGCTTAAATGATTATGATCGTTACTTACGAATCCTAGAAAGCCATTGTCTACTTTTTGACAAACAATAACTTGCGTCCAAATCTTAATCGACGGTTCAAAAAAAGTAGACGCAGAGTCAATACATGTACTAAATTAACCTAATTGTAAGGCGAGTCTTATTTGTAAAATTGGAGACACTTTCATTTATTGTACAGTATAAAGTAACTGTAATTTTAAGTTGCCATCTCTAAAACGTGGATCAAAAAAGGTCATAGAGGACCAAGATGAAGTTAACATTGTCCAGTTGGAGTAAGCAAAAATCATAGATTATAAGAAAATGAAATTTTATTGAAATGGAAATATGTTAAACAATTCATATTATGTTTACTAAAACCTTCACGGAACAACGTCCGAGTCAGTATGCAGAAGCCTAGAAATACAAGTCATCATGTGATAAGAATATCTATATGTTTATTTGAAATGTGTGAACTTATGCCAAGAAACTCTAAATTCACGGTGTTATAGCATGACGGTTACGACAAGGCGATTTTCAAAATTTTGCGGTAACGATAACAAAAAATGGCGGATGGGAAAGACAGCATGTCCTCTTTCTCGCCTGTAGGCAAGATTCACAGATGAGATTTCCTTTTTAACTAGTTCCATTCGGTGACGTATATATGGATGGTTATAAAGAATGGGTCAAATCTGCCAGGTGGTTTACTAGAAGCGGAATATAAGCTGTAAACTTACCGACTGAGATGTCCAAGTTCATATTTTTTAGTGATTTCTCAGTATATGTGCCTAAGAGCCACTCAAACTATTAACAGTAAGTAAACTGTGTATAGACAAGCCATAAAATGACAAATCCAGAACAGGAACGTGGTCATATTGTAAATAATGAGGTTTCAAACGCAATGTCGTTAGACGACTACGTATGAATTCTATGGACGGGAACGTATTGTATTAGACGTACATTAGATATTTAGCGGACGGTTACGTACTTGTACATCTTTCAAGTTAAGGTTGCTAGTTCTGATAGCCTCTTTCCATGTAAGTGTTATAATGGGTAAAAAATGGAATATTGAATCGCTTATATTTGTTTTCAGGACTCGCAAGAGACGCTCTTGTTTGAGCCTCTATAGGGCAAGGAAAAAATTGAGTCTTGCTTTATTAATGAAACCAATTTAATTCAAAAAGATAGCAATGAAGAGGCAAAAGAAGAATAAGCATCAAGTACTGAAGGATATGACAAAATTAATATCAATGAATCTGGGATACATATTTGAACGAGGTTCGCGTAACCGTAAATCAATTTTTGGCGTAACCGCAAATTAAAAATCAATATTATGGCTTAAGTAGAACATATTAGGTGGTTTCCAATGCTCAATTGGCTTTTTATGATCGTATGTAGGTCACATCTATATACCCCAAGGTTGTAAGGCAATGTCGACCATGCCCTAACGACAAAAATAAACAAATTACTAAATTTTGTGTAGTTTTGAATTTCAAACTCAACAGTTTTTCGCTTATTTCATGTTATCCCCGGGAATCAATTTGCAAATAATACGTTCAAAATATACATTTCTAAATGCATCACCGAATGCGATGTCTACAAAAATCGTTCATCCTTTCATTGATACACAGTAGAAGAAAATACTGCACCAACCTTAGTTTTCTGTTCCATCGCGGCCATTTTATTGGATAAATCAGTGATCGTAGTCGTCTAATCTCGTTTTCAGAGGTGTCGTAACCGTCATGCTATAGCACCGTGAGTTTTCAAATATCAAGCACTTGAATGGACATGATCAGACATCACGTACATTGGCTGTACCGACTTGTAGACGGCGGCCTGTTACGTGAGAAGGGTACGGTGCCCGATTGATGGGTTTGCATTTCACAGTTCACTGCTCTTGACTTCCTCTCGAAGACTTTAAATCTTTAATGCACATCCTTTGATTGCGTCGATTGCGAAACGAATTGACAAAAAATAATTAAGATAAAATCATAAAACATTGGTTTACATGTAATTCCCACTAGATATTTTTCACAACATACATGTATGTGATTTATCTTTTCCTTTAAATAATTTTAATTGTACTTTATATTTTCAACAGATAGAGGTATGATTTTGTAATAGTCTTTAAATATTTATCAATGAATCTTCGGTGTATAACCAATTTTACTAAAATGTATGGAGCCTCGCCGAAGATGCTCGCCATATTTTGAGTCCATATATTCGTCTTTATATATCATAAATATCGATGATTTTATTCAAGTTTTACTGGTATTATCATGAAATAATGCATCCAGTAGTAGTTATAGGAAACGTAACATTGTTATACGATGTCACATCTTTCACAGCTGTGTCAGTAATTCATTTCCTTTTCACACACTAATCCTAGATAAGCATTGCATGGCAACGTTCCCCATTCGTAGTTAGGGAAACGACGCCACATCATCACACATGGTATGTTCTCTTTAGGGTGGCCAGTATGATACCTGAAATGTAACTATTTTAATAAAAACTACGAAATATAAAGCATGAGCATGGATCTTTAACATGCTACTCAAGCAATCATCATATAGAAAACTATTAAGGTACTGTTCTGAGGAAACAAAAACAATCTTAAATATCATAGCGTTTTGATTAGTGTTTGTTACAAATGCCCCAAATATGTATATGTATTATTTAAAAAATGGCTATTCCAATTAATTTTTACAGTATATGAACATATTTACAATAATCTGAGATTTGAAAAGAATTTTGAAGTTGTTCGGTACTCTAGATGAATTTTACCATCGAGTGTACTGCATTGTTTCATTAGTTGGCTGCCAGACTAGGACTTGTTGATTCCTCCGCACGGATATTCGACCCCCAATCCACCATCCGCTCGGCTCATTTTCTTCAAATGAATTTGAAGATTTTTACATATACATTTTGCAGAATGCTTATGGGTTTATATAATGCATATGTTCACTGATACTGCAAGCGACCGGACGAATTGAACAAGAAAGTTATGGTGTCGATGACACGGTTATAATCTCGATGATGCCGTGTCAAGTTTATAAGGTACACGTTTTAAAGAGAACTTGTACGCGAACATAAAGAATTATGGTTCTCTATGGTTTCGTTCTCGCATTTGTGGTATTTTCTTGCACGATTGAGTATATAGGGGTAATGCACTGGGAGGTTTTGGATACAGGGAATATCCCGAGGGATATACAATATATCTTCCCGAGGGACCGAAGGGACCGAGGGAAGATGTAAGCCTATTGTATATCCCAAGGGATATTCCCTGTATCCAAACCGACCGTGCATAACTGGTGTATCTCATACTTGAGTGGGTTTAGGGTAGATATAACCTTTTCCACCTTTTTCAAATGACAAGATATTTATATTTAACATTTTCGTAATATTCTTTTTGTTCAATACAATGAAATTGTAACATTTAAACTTAAAAAATTAAATTTTAAAATTAAAAAATTAAAACTTTTGATATTCAAACTTTTTTAAACTTTTGAAAAATTCCCGGGAGCGGGATGAATATATTATATCTGCCCGCATTTGGCCTGGAGCGGGACATATACAATATATCCTGCCCGCTCCTCAGATACGATATATATTCCCGGGTGATATCTACCCCAAACCCACTCAAGTATGAGATACAAAGGGATATAATAAGGAAAATAGTTACAATAAGGTCCCTGGAAAAACAATTGAGTGAAGGACAGTAATCCCTCCTATTGGCGAATCCAGAAGCTAAGAAGGGGGGGGGGGATTTCAAATCAGAAAGAAGGAACCAAAAATTGGGCCTAAATCTTGAAAAAAAAATCTGGGTCCATCCAGTCACCCCCCCCCCCCCCCCCTCCCCTGGATCAGCCAGTGCCTTCCAGAGGGTCATAATAATAGACGTCCACGTACAAGTTCTCCTCCCCTATTCAACCCACCTTTCATTTCTCTTAAACTGTTGTACACAAAGATATCTTCCTGGATTGTCTCTATAGACACCAGGTCTCCGCCACTCTTCACACAGGCCTCTCTTGCCCCTCCCCACTGATACAGAAAGTTGCTGAACAGGTAGCATTTATTACGCCACTTTTTGAAAAATGGTGGACATCCATTCGTATCGAATCTCCTGGTATCTGGAACAAAAACTCCATCAATAATGATAGTTATTTATTTAAAACCGAAACTAAGATTTACACACAATGTCGGAAACTGACTTAAACAACTCTATGTAATCGTGAAAAATGTAGGAGTTGTCGCTCATTTGACCCGATGAAGAGTTAATATTAGTGCACATATTTGTGGTAGTGTTGTAACATACAATATCTGCTGTTTCATCTTCATCAAAGGTATTCTTTGGGTCGCTGTAGTTTGTAACGCATGTTTGCTTGAGTAAATAGACAAGAATATATCAAGATGTAGTTCTACATTTCTAACATCACAACATCGTCTGTGCTCAATTTCTGACACGATGATATGTTGGCTATCCCTAATGAGTAAAATAGCCTTAACTTTTCTTGTGCAAGGGAAAATAAAGGTGAAACTTTTTTTTCGTTAAGGCTTTCAACAAAAAATGTTTTCTCAATTATATCTGCCTGTTTTCGCTACCTGGTATTTACAAGTTTTACTACATTTCCATTTCATCACTGATTCGTTGGAATAAGGGAACGCCTTAATCTAAAACGACTTTTTATAAATACAATGCTTGGAGAAATCCATTTGTAAATGCATAAGAATAATTCAAAAATTCAGTAATTCACCTTCGATGATGTGGCGTTTGTCCCTGTGCGATTTTAATATTTCCTCTGGGTCGGTGTAATTTCTTATTCTATCTTGATGGTCCTGGTCAGCTAGTTCTGTCGTGTAAACCTCATATGGTATATCCTCTAAAAACACATCGATTTCATTATTGTACGGGTCCTCGCCCTCCTGTTCAATCATGCTGTCAACATCTCTGTTGTCCTTATTGATGACAACAGCGCCATGTCCTTGCCAAACAATACACAGTCCAATATAAAAGAACACATAAAAGTAGCACCAAAACAGTACCATAGTAGAACGATATCTCTTGTACACACACTCACTGTTGTTTTTTCAACTGTTTCTTGTAACAGTAAGAATTCGCAGGTTAATATAAACCGGTGAGTCGATGGGCTTGCGCAGCCCTTTTCAAAGAATTTTTCTTCTTATTCGGAATAAATCTGATTCGTTTTTGAGTTTAATTGGTAAACCACAATGTGACATTTTCGAACTTGTACCAAGTTGTCATATAAGCTTGACAAATTGTTTTCACAACATACACCTATGGTCACATTCAAACAATTGACATGATTGACCAGACATTCATATTACAAGGAATCTCAGGAAAATAGTCTTACCTCATTAATATACGTTCTGGCCCTTTGAACTTAGGTGTCACGAATATTTTGCCTTTTACAAATCAAAACTCGCTAACTGGAACTCCTAGCCTTCATTTCTCTAAATTATCAGAAGGTAAATATAACTTTCAAGGTATTGTTCATTTATATAATCGAAGTTCTTGATAACCTTCCCGTCCGAGCAAGTTTCCAAGCAGTTAAAGACCGTTCGTAATCAGTTTTATCCCGTTCTTAACGAATTCTACTATACCTCGTTCCAAAAACATCAAAACAAGTTCCAAATAATTCTTGACTGCACCATGGGCATTCAATCTAGTTGAATGCCCAATGCCCATGACTGCACTGGCGGATCTGGGCGGGGGGCAGTAATACCTGTAATTTGCCCCCCCCCCCCCTGTTCCTTGTTTGTTCCCAGATCTGCCCCTGGACTATATACCTCTTTTCCAGAGTTCACATTGTTCTCGCCACGCCCACATCTCGTATTTATAGAGCATACAGAACGTAATTGCAATCGCGTCCTGACTGTTAGAAATACACAATGCACACCTGCAATTGATTCCCGACCAATGTCGTATTTTGCCTTACCCCATCTCATTCGCATTTCAATCATGTCGCACCATGTCGTTGAACACAAGTTCTGCAATTAATCCGATTGCACAACGCCGTTAATTACACTAAACTAGTACTCACTACGTTCTCGAAAACGGACTTAAACTGTGTACGAACGGATTGGACGTACTTAGAACCGTTTGGGGTCTACTTACAAACTTCATGAACGTATTCGTACGGGTATGTCCTCCAGAACTCCTGAAATTTTCTGATGGTCGTCACGTTCTGAATAAGAACGGGTGACAACGTACTTAAGACGAGCTGGACGTACAACGAACGGAACTATATAAATATAGCTATCACACCAAACTACTTGCCACTGCGTTCTTAAAAACGTTGCCGTTTTTAACTGTGTGCGAACGGAATGAACGTAGCTGCAACTTTCTACAGTCTATTTACGAACTTCATGAACGTTCTCAGACTGGAAGGTGATTTTAGAATTTCGATGGCGACAATACCGTTCTGAAATCAGATCGTGTGACAACGTACTTCAAACGAGATGACCTACTAGACCAGGAACGTAATTGCCGTACTTCAACCCTACTAGGGACGCGTTATACAACGTTATGCAATCGGATATCAATTGCAATACGAGTGCACACCGACATGGTGCGACCTGAATGAACTGCGAATGAGATGGACGTATTGAAGACTCTGTATGAACGAAGTAGCTAATTATTTAGACATATTTCCCGACCACAGCCAGATTTAGCCCGTTTTACGACTTTTTCGTAGGACTGGAAAGAACGGGTAAGAACTAGTTTGGTGTGATAGTGGGGATGAGCAATCGGATATCAATTGCAGTACGTGTACACACCGACATGGTGCGACCTGAATGGACTGCGAATGAGGTGAACGTATTGAAACTGTTTATGAACGTAGCTATTTTATTTTGGACATATTTCCCGACCACAGCTCCATACTAGGTCCCCTTTTCTTCATTGTTTATATTAATGACATATACTTATCATCTCCAAGGTTATTTTTTGTTCTTTTTGCAGATGACACTAATATATTGATAAATGGCAAAAATCTAAATGAACTCAATGATATATTGAACACCGAGCTAAAACATATTGAAGAATGGCTGGTGACTAATAGACTTTCTATAAACATTTCTAAAACCAAATACATCATTTTTACGTCAAGACAGAAGCACTATGATCCAAGTAACTTCAAAATATATCTCAATGACAATAAACTCGAACAAGTTTCAACGATCAGTTTTTTAGGCATTATAATTGACCAACATTTGACATGGAAAGATCACATATCTTCAGTTAATATGAAAATTTCAAGGACCATAGGTATTTTGTACAAGATTAAGCATATCTTAAACATTCAAGGGTTTACAAGTATTTACTACTCCTTGATCTATTCATATCTAATATATGGTAATCTTGTTTGGGGGGATGCAAATCCTACATCAATAAATCCACTTCACTTGTCCCAGAAAAGGTTTGTACGTCTTGCAACAAATAGTGACTATAGAGCACATTCTTCTCCACTTTTTGAAATGTTAAAACTTATTACTATTTTTGACATTAATAAGCAAGCAAAATGTATATTTATGTTCAAATGGAAAAATGACTTAGATAACTATAGGAGTATATACCCTCGTCTCTTTACAACAGTTCATGAGAGAAATCCTTATAACACCAGAAATAGAATGACCTATGATCAACCTAAATTTCGCACAAATTATGGTAAATCATCTATATCCATTTCAGTACCCCAGCTTTGGAACAAATTACCAGAAAGACTTAAACAAATAAAAAGCCTCTATTCATTTAAAAGAGAACTAAAAAAACTATTTTTGGAAACATACTAACTCAATTGATATTTTGCTGTCTCTTTATCACCCATTGCCCTCACCATGCTTTCTCTCGTGTATGCTCTTTTGGTTTCTTCGAAGAACAAAACTGCTCTCAATATGATTGCTCAGTATATCTGACCCATATGGTAACATTTCAATCACATACAGTTATGCTGTTTTTGTGTTGTTGTTTTTTTGTTGTTGTTTGTTTTTTACTAAACTGACTTATATTTCCTATAAGCTCTGCTGTACCCCCTGATTTTGCCTCTGTTCCAAATAATGTTCAAACTACATTGTAAGTATATTTGCACTCATTGGTATAATTGTATTCAAGAACACTTTTGACATTATGCCAAAACTTTACCTCATTTGGTCTATTATGATGTGACAAACCAATACTTTCGTTCAAATAGACGAATACATAGGCAGGTCCCCAACTGCATTTCATAGGTATGACAACACACATGTATTATTTTGTCTAATATTGGGAATATACACTTTTTAAAGTGTCACCCAGTTCATATATTGTATTTTGTGTGTATTTCAAATAATAAATAAACATAAACAAACATAAACATTTAGCCCGTTTTATTACTTTTTGTAGGACTAGAAAAAACGTTTGAGAACAGTTCTATTGTGATTGGGGGTAACGCGTCCCTAGTAGGGTCGAAGTACGGCAATTACATTGTACGTTCGTAGTCTTGTAGACCATCTCGTTTGAAATGCGTTGTCCTACGATCTAATTACAGCTGCCGGCGTATTTTGAAATGATTCAAAATGCTTGATCACCTTCCCGTCCGAGCACGTCCACGAAGTTCTTATTTTTGCTAACTCGTTCGTGAGCAGTCTTTAATACATCCTTAATTAGTTCAAACCTGTTTGCAATATTAGTTCTACCTAGTTCTCATCCCAATATGTTATTGAATTATCCACCTAATTTTCAAACAGTTCAACTCGCTCTATAAACGCAATAAAAGTGGTTCCAAAAGAGCATATCTTAAAATATTTTAGTTCTCATTGATATTATGATATTATATGCATAAAATCGGAGATTGATAGTTGAACTTATATAACTTTTGCCTGATCTGTTCAATAGAGTAAATAATTTTCAAGTCATGGTAAGTAACATTTGAATGATTAAAATATATCTGCATGGGGCCTTTAAGAAAGAATTTGAACCGCATCGCACGGACGGGCTTGAATCGCTTGGGAACGTTGTCCGCATAAGGCTCATAAGATGAAGACTGTTTATGAACGAACGAACATGTACCTACGCTCCCACCTAACTAGTTCTCACCATTTTCCGTTATTAAAGGCTTTTGCCGAACGGCCTTTTATGTGCGAATTAGACTGTTTTTCAGCAAGGGTCTCTCTCTTTTACAAAGAGGATCTGATCAATTTTATGACGTTTTTAAAAACATTTACACAATAGTATGTACGCGTGAATCGTCCTTTCCATTAATTATGTATGGCCTTAACGATTAATTAAACCACAATCCACTGCGTCCTGAGCTTTAATATTTTGATATAATGAGGACAAATGTTTTCAAAAATACTGTATATCTAAGGACATTGAATTCATATTGTACACAAATATGAAGCAAATATATGGCAGACCTTACTTCAGAGCATTCCTCTGAACAACCTGTATACTAACTGTGAACCAGTGCAAAGTAGTGATCACGTGTTAAGGTTAACATAGAAACTTAATTCCACCCCCAAGTAAGCTCGTTATAAATTTGGAGAGAAAGGTGCTACTCCAATATATCATAGAGAATACAAATTTACATGAC